CCACCACACACACACACACACACACACACACACACACACACACACACACACACACACACACACACACACACACACACCTGCTGCTGCATATGACTGCGTTGCTGTGGTTGGATGTGCCCACCATGACCATGGATGTGTGTGTCCACAGCTGCCTGTCCCAATCCATCACGTGTGCACCCGCCCATCATCCTCCAACGATCCTCACACAGTCATCCCCTGCATACACACACACGCATGACATGTGAGCTGCACAGCTACACTGCTGCACGAGATCCAACAGCAGCAGCAATAGCAAACACCCACAGCAACAACAACAACACATGCACCATGTGCCATCCAAAGCATGCATGACGGGCTCACCTTGCTCACGCATATGGGAACACTGCATGACCACAGCAGCGGCAGCCGAATCGGGGTGGTTGCAGCAGCAGCAGCTGGCATGCAAGCCCGCTTCCAAGTGATGTGTGCTGATACCTCACCACCTGTGCATGTGTGCGTGTGCGTGTCGTTGCAGGGAGCGTGGTTGGGAACAGAACACAACAGGCACAGAGAAAGCCATGATGTCAGCACAGCAGAACGAGTGATTGACATGACACGCACCACGTGTGCGTGTGTGTGTGCGTGTGTGATCATCATCCCCCATGAACCCTCCTTCCCCTTCTTCACTTCACCCCATCACCACACCCCCATCCCCACACTCCATCACACAACCAACCAGCCACTCATCCCCACCCACATACCATGTGTGAAGCGAGTGCAGCTGGCACGCGTGGCAAGTATCCTTGACATTTCCCTCATCCTGATGCTTGTGCGTGTGCATCACCTGTGAGTGTGTTTGTGTGCAAGCACCAGCATGGTGAGTGGGAGGGAAGAGGGAGCGTTGATGTGTGCGCAGTCACACTGCTGCTGCTACTGGTGATGCTTTGCGTGCATGTGTGTGTGAAGAAGAAAGGGAAGAGAGAGAAAACAGAACACAGAAGGGAAGGAACAAGACATGCTGCACCCCATCCATCCATCCATCCCTCTTCCTCACACCACACACCACTGTCCTCTGTCACCAGCCAGCCAGCCACACCACACTCACCCAGCATCCCCCACCCCACCTCATCCCATGCATCCATGCATCCATCCAACACACATCCTCTCCGTTTTCCCTCTTCACCTCTGCTGCTGCTGCTGCTTCCAGCCGAAAACGCAACTTGTGCTGTCGCCACCTGTTCCCAGCTGCAAACAGCCAGCTTCCGCCACAGCAGTGGGCGATGGGTTGGTTGGTTGGTTGGTTGGCTGGGGAATGTGTTCAGCAGCAAGTGGTGGTGGTGGTGTATTCTCTGCTGCTGCTGCATCGGCGGTGGAGGGTGTGTTGGCTGCTGCTGCTGCTGTTGTTGTTGTGATGGCCGTCAGGGGAGGGCGAGAAAGAGAGGGGAATATAAGCAGCGGCTGCAAGGTGTGGAATGTGCAGGTGTGCGGGCAGTTGTGTGAGAGAACGAAGAGTGAGACACTGCATTAAGCAAAGCAAAACAGGCAGCTGCACCACACACATGCATGTACATTGATGTGGGACAACAAGGGGAGACAGGAGCAACAGAGACAGCGACCACAAAACACGCACACTGGTGCGGTGCGCATCACACACACACACACACATGCAGTGACGCACTCACGTTGCTCATCGCTCGCTTGCTTTGTAGTGTGGTGTGGTGTGAGTTGGTGTTGCTGCTTCCACAGCCGCATACAGCGTGGCTGGATGGTCATCACATGGCAGCGCCCGTCTGATCATCCCACCACAGCAGTGGTGGTTGGTGCAGGAGGGAGTGGGGTTGACAGCTGCTGGCTCAAGGGCCCTCTGTGTGGCGACAGCAACAGAAGGAGGGAGAAACAAGCAAGCGTGGAGGGTGGTGGTGAGGGTGGGAATGGAAGGATGTGAGCAAAGACACAAGAACATGAGAGGTGCATGACGGCGTGTGGATGGGTGG